GAAAAAAAAAAAAAAACAAGTGATTGAGTCCATATGCTGGGTTTTAATGTTATTTGGAACTATCTACCAGTGTCCTCATGTTTTGGACTTTCATAACAGAGTTTCTCATGAAAGGCGTTTACCAAGTGTCAAAAGCTAAAGTACTAAACAATGAACTCAAAATAGTGAACTATTAAACAGTGAACTAAAAACAGTGATAAAACTAATGAGATTTAGTCTTAATTTGCAAACTAAATTAATTTGATTGAGATTTAATTGGAAAGAAGGATAAATTGTGCTTCATTAATATAATTCATTAGATTTTAATAACTTATTGCAGGCGTTTCCTTTAAATTGACAAACATATAAAAAAATTAACTCAAAAATAATAATAAAAAAAAAGCAACATACAACACAATTGTACTTCATTACTGATCTGAAGATTAATCTCCATTTAAAATTCTTTGATCAATCAAGAATTCAACAAAGAGACTTTTAATTTGTGTATTTTAGAGAGAAAAAATGGAAGAAAGAGATGATGGAAAAGAAAGAGAAAAAGATGGAGAGAGTGGGGGGAGAAGAGAGAAAATTTTCAAAAAGTGGAGGAAATAGAATGGGGAGAAGAGATAGAAAATCTTCAAAAATGGAGGAAAGAGAGAAAAAGGGTGGGAGAAAAAAAATATTTCTAGAAAATGAAAATAGAGAGAAAAATAGTGAAAGAGATAGAGGAGGAGAAGAGAGAAAAATAACAGAGAGAAGAGTGGGCGATTTCTAAAAAAAAGGGAGAAGAGGGAGAAAATGGATGGAGATAAAGTGAGAGGAAGAGAGCGAGTGGAGGAAAACAAAGAGAATGAGTGGGAGAGGAAAGAGGGAGAGAGAGAGGGCATGCTTCTACAAAGAATGGAAAAGAGAGAAAAAGACTGAGAGAAAGTAATCCACAACAAGAAAATCATTTTTTATGACGAATTAAAAAATATCTCAAAAATATACTATCTACACGTTTTTTAAAATGCATTGTGAAATGGTGATTTCCTACGAATATTTTTTTTTGCACGAAAAATGGCGAGAAATGGCAAATTTTTATGACAAATTTTTTTGTCACAAATTTGTATTAAATCGTCGCAAGAATAAATAATTAGAAATTAAAATAAAGTAAAAATATTAATTTGTGATGTTTTTTTCACAAAAAAATTTTGTAGAAATTTTTATAGCAACATGTTTTGTCTTGTCGCAAAAATAATTTTTTGTTTTTGTAAACAAAATTAAGTTAAAAATAAAACCAAAACCAAAAATTATTTTTACAGTTTTATCCCCTCCTAGCTATAGATTATTAATAAGAATTTTCATTTAGGATTTTTCTTTTTTTAATGTTTGTTCATATATATCTGTGTTTGCATCTTTAATTTCTTGTCTTGTTCACCTTTGATTAACAGGTGGTTACATTTGTTAGTATATCTGATTTAAAATTAAATTTGTTATTATTTATGCATATTAATAATTTCAGCCCCACATTTATTTAATGATTATGATTTTAATTTTTGATTGTTGAAATTCTTTAGGGAGAGTTATATGTAATAACTACACATGTCATTAATACACACACACACACACACATATATATATATATATATATAATAAAGTAACTTACAATTCGAATTTCAAAAGATAAACAAAATGACTTTTGTTATTCGCAGTTGAGATCGTTTTAAATTTTATTTTGAAATTAATCTAACGGTTAATATTAACACTCTAAATTTAATAGGAAAAATAGGGGCCTAAGCGTGTGTTTAACATGACTTTTTAAAAGTACTTTTAAGAATTATTTTTTATAAGTACTTTAAAAAAAATAGTGTTTGAAACCGTCTCACTACTATCTCTACCACCATCCCCACTACTTCTACCACCACCACCACTACCTCTACCACCACCACCATCACCACCGCCACTGCCACCGCCTCCACCACCACCGCTATCGCCTCCACCATCACTGCCACTGTCACTATTACCATCATTGTCGCCACCATCCCACGTCACCACCACTGCCATCGCTGTCGCCACCACCACCACCACTGTTGTCGCCGCTGCCACCATCATTGCCACCACAGTCATTGCCACCCACCACCACCATCACCGCTGTCGTTGCCACCACCATCGTCGCTACCGCCACTACCACCACTATCACCGCCACCCTTGCCGTCACCACCACTGCTGCCACCATCACTGTCATCCACCACAACCATCAATGTCTCTTATCACCACCACTACAGCCCACCACCTCTCACCCCTATTACAAATCGATGTTTAAATTATTTTATCTATTCTTTATATTTGTGATTTGATTTTGGATATGAATACAAATATGTTTATTGTTTATCATTTTTTATTACTCTGTGCTTTCAGGCACAAGCAATAACTAATATATATATAGATGTTGTATATTCTATCTTTAACCTAACCATTATATACATTGGACTTACTTACATGAGGACTAGCCGTTGAAGCCATATATCCCATATATTCATATAGCTTTAAAAGAATAATGGCTATCCATTAATGTATAAATAGACAAGCATTTTATCTTCCGTTGATATAGAGAAACAACTCTCATATACATATTCTCCTTCATTCTTTACTTGTTTCAATGTGTTTTTGTTAGTATATATGATTTAAAATTAAATTTATTATCATTTATTCATATTAATAATTTTAACCCCACATTTATTTTATGATTATGATTTTTTGATTGTTGAAATTCTTTAGGGGGAGTTATATGTAATAACTACATATATCATTAATATATATATATATATGTTGTATATTATAGTCTTAACTAACCATTATGCACATTGGAGTTACTTACTTGAGGACTAGCCATTGAAAGCCATATATCCCATATATTCATATAACTTAAAAAGAATAATGGTTATCCATTAATGTATAAATACACATGTGTTCTATCTTCCTTTGATATAGAGAAGCAACTCACATATACATATTCTTCTTCATTTTTTACTAGTTTTAGTGTGTTTTGTGGGCAATTTGGGTGAGATCAGTTCGTTATAGAGAGGGTCACACCTACAACGTAGCTTCTTTCTGATTGTTGTGTCTTGGGAAAAGAACATCAGAAAACTCGGTGCGGAGAGGACATATCCCTTCTTAGGACAGCGTTCATCTTGCACCTCAATCCAAGTTATTCTAAACTTATTTTTGATTTAAATTCCATTGAGTTTATTTGATATATTTGCATCTATATGAATATGTGGTTTTATTTAGTTATATTTTCTAATAGTTTTGTGGACAACTTGGGTAAGATCAATTCGTTATAAAGAGGTTTACGCCTACACCATAGTTTTTCTCGGATTGTTGTATCTTGGGAAAAGAACGTTGAAAAACTCTGTACGAAAGAGACATATCTCTTCTTAGGACAGCGTTTATCGCGCCTCAATCTAGGCTATTCTAAACTTATTTTTGATCTAAGTTCCATTGAGTTTTTTTGATATATTTATATCTATATGAATCTATGATTTTATTGATTTATTTTTCTAACAATATTGCATACCAAGTAGGCGATCGTTCTGGTCATGGCGTAGATGGTGGTAAAGACATTATATTTTGGGTAATTGTGGTAGTGATATATACCGTATTGTGACAGAGGTAAACCTTCAATGATTAGAATTCACCATTTTTGTAAGATTTAACTCATATTAAATAAAGTTTAATGGTCATGTTTCACACTTCTTTAATTTTGAGTTTAAATTTCACTTACAATTGTTCCATGGTTTTTAATACCACTAATAGGGAATCCATGAATTTACCAGAATATACAAGTGCAGTTTATAAATATCAATTTTGAAGCTTACGAGACGTTCATATAACAAATTTTAGCTAGGGCCGGAGTTATTAACCAACAAATATTGGAATGCTCCTCAATATATACTTCAAAGTTATCATCAATATAGGCTTCAAAGTATTTATAGCATAATTAACAAAATTGTACGATTCTTCATTCGATTCGTACAATTTAATTTGATATAGGTATAAAACGATTTATATCTTATATGAGAATCGTTTTTAGAGTCGAATCACATTTAAATTGTATTATTCGATTCATATCGCACGAATCGTATAATTCAGTCACTTTTTTAAAAATCTAAATTTTTTGTAAAATGACGTCGTTTTGTCTGTTAAACAGTAAAACAACATCATTTTGTTTGTAGAGGAACTTACGCCCTAATAAAAAAATAGCCTCGTTGTTCTCTCTCTCTCTCCCTCTCTCTCTCTCTCTCGCTCTCGTCTAAAACTCGTCTCACGCTGTCTGAAACTGAAAATTACAGCTGAAGTTCTCTCATCATTGGCTCAAGGTATGCCTCCTACTCCTCTTCTTCTTCTTCTTAACAATTTTCTTTTTTGTTTTTAATTGAATTATTCTATCTCATGTCACCATATTTTAAAATAAAATTTGATTTTTGCTTCCAATTCTTTTATGGATAATTTATTAGGTTCTATTTTTTTGTTTCAAAATAATGGTCTATATGTTTTCTCCCAATCAATTTTCTTATTTGTTTTTTTTTCATTCATGTTTGTAACTTAATCTGTTCTGAATGTCATTGTTTTGGTTCTTGAATAATCATGGTTTCTTGAATAATTTTTTATTTCAAGTTGTTGAATTTGAAAACGGTTAAGTAAAAGATAAAAAAAAACAAAAAATTAGTGTCTTTCCATTTAAACGACATAATTATGTTAATTAATTATTTTTAGAATACAATAATATTCAATATTCTATTTTAAAAATATAAATATTATTTTTTTTATTTTTATTTAAATTTTATGTTAAAATCTTATGATTCGTGATTCTGAAATTTATCTGATTCTATCACCATAAGGAAGAAAATTTCGCAATAAGACCCTACACAAACGTAAACTTTAAAAGCATGAAAGACAAAAAATAATTGTCTATGCGGCCGATGGGGCAGTGACGTGATAAACAACGTCATCCTCCGAAAGTATTGTCGTGAACTTGTTCACCCTTCAATTGTTGCATTAGTCCACTGGTAATCCAGTGACTCATCGTTGTAAATATCGCACCACTCCTTCACTAGCATCTTGATATCTTCTCTCTCCATGTTCTCTTCTTTGCCAGTGAACCTCCTTGGCTTTGAACCCGCAGCACAATAGTGAACAACTTTCACTTTGTCGAGCTCAATATTCTCGAGATGGCGCCACAACATGGCCAAGACCAAGTTGTAAATTGAAGGGATAGGCCTGTAGATGTCCCTAAAGAACATGTTCAAGAAATCTTGCTCGGCAAAAGAGGTAGGAGAAGTGACTTTGAGGGTCTCCAAGAGGTCATCATAAATGGAGAGGCTGGGCTCATTGACAAACATCCCAGCATTGAAGTAGAGAGGAGGCTTAGCCGCTTAGGTCCCAACTCAGCTGCCCACTGAAATTTATTTGGGCACTGTTGGCAGTATCCTACTATATACTGCGGGCTATGACTCCAAGTTTTCTCACAAAACAATCCATCACAGCATAAAAGTAACCACTTGGCATGTCAAAGAGGTGGTCGATATTGTCAAACACCTGGATGTCTCCATCCAAGTATATCATCTTGTTGTACTCCACTAACTGTAGAGTAAAGAACGTTTTACATTATTACAAACCAAATTGGAAATTGTAACATTTACCTAAAAAAACTAGAAATAACAACACACATATATACACATTATATTACATGTCACCCAGTGCATCTAAAGGGCACGTTTGCCTAGTCCACCAAGATCAATTGGTGGGATCAGTCATCATTGTAGTTAATGACATAGTAACGTCATGGCAAACTGAGTCTAATTATCCGGTGGGTACATCAAAAGACACCCTAACTAATATTGCGACACTATGATTCATTATTTATGCAATGGAACACACCAAGAACAAATACATGTTCACTGTTAATTAACTTGAAAGCTTACCTCCCAGATACGAAGCTTGGAGTAGTTGATGACATAGTACGCCATGGCAAATTGAGTCTGGTTATCCGGTGGGTACACTGGCTCGATCTCACGAATAATACAACCCTGAGACACCAGTATACGGCGGTGCTCCTCCGGGACATCTGGAAGAACCGCCACGACAAGAGGTTAAGCACTTTTTACTTTTCTCAACCCTTTAGCCAAGCCAACCACACCTTTCACATAGTCACCATTACCTGCCAAGAAGGTAACATTTGCTCGGCTAGAGAGACTAGCAGCCTTGGCTTGACCCGTGGTGGGCTTGGTTGCAGCACTAACGAGGTCAGGAGCCATTTGGTTTGTTCTTAGAGTTGATTTGAAGTTTGTAAGAGAAGAAGAAAAGGATCGTGAATGTTTTCAAAGAAGGAAAATAACTTAGCTGTGAGGTTGTTGGTAATGGAGACTTGGGGTTGTTTGTTGAGCAATGTTATTAGATTTAATTTATTGATCTAATTTATTATGATCTTTGAATTACTGTGGAGTTTATAAAATAATAAAACTTGATGTTAATCTAATAATTTTATTAAAAATATATCATTATGTTAACAAATTAAATTAAATTTTTAAATTCAAATAATACTACTGACGTTTAAATAAGCGTCACTGTAGAATCAAATTGAGTTGATTGGATAAATGAAAATGAAAATGACGTCGTTGTCGGCCATATAATGCGGGAAATTTTTGGATTAATGGTACGTGTGGTGCGGGACTTTGATCTAACGGTGAGCAGTATCTCGATTAAAAAAAAGATATTCTTGAGGTTTGGGCGGTGAAAGAAAAAGGGTTTACGTTACTTTGTTTACATATAACTACGTTGACATATACGTTTCTTAATTTGAATTTTTAGTAATACTATATTGGTCATATTTTGAAATCAAATTTAGAGTTCAAATGACATGACAGTAATTTTTTTATTTGGTATTGATGATACCCCAAACAAGCCCTAACTATGAGCTCAGGAAAAGAGATCAGGTCAGGAAAGACACGAAAAACTCAGAGAACCAGAGGTAGAGCTCCCTTTGGGGAGATCGTAGCAGACCCAACCAAGAAACAGATGGATGACTGCGGAAATTGAGCCCAATGCATGAAACTCTCAACCAACTAAGATTCTCTCCTAAAATCAAGGAGGATCCTATGAATAATTGACAAAGATCTCGGCTGAAATCCCACAAAATAGAGAGCAGCCTTCTAAATAGTATATAACGCCTCATTGAGAGAGGAGGATCAGAGAAAAACTCTAATTAGATTATACATTGTACTGTAATACATTCAAGTAATCAATAGAGAAAAAAAGGATCAAGAGCCTCCATTAGAAAGTGGATTAGCCTAGCTCTAGAGCCGGTTAACCAATATATTCCTATTGTGCAAATTCTCCTACCTCCTAAGAAACACTTCATCACTGTCATTATGAAGTTGGCAGCCTAGATTCACCTTTGGTCCCACGCACTCTGTTCACCCACGTTAGTCTGCACCATCAGTTTGACGTCGTCTGTAGGAACGATTGTTCCTATTACAAATAAGCTGATCTCTCAGTGACTGATGGTATCAACACGAAACATGAGTAGAAGTCAAACAAACCCACCTCGAATACAGGATCAACAGGAAGCCACCAATGGCAAATAGCCCGAGAACATCATAGAGACTGATCCTCCCATGGGGAATCCCCCTACGAATAACGAGATGGAGGCCCTCCACCTCGTTAATCAACGTTTGTTAAAATAAAACGAAGAGCTCTTAAAGCTCTTACAGCGCCAGGAGGCACGTCCGGCCCAAGAAGGTCAGAATAGTCCCCGTCACAGGGATTAACAACACCTTAATCCACTCAAAGAAGACAACGAAGGAGGTGGAGAACAGTCAGACCTTGGGGCAGGTTCGCCAACTACCCCTAGAAGTGGGCACAATGAAGAAGTACAAAGTCAAAACCATGAAGCTGAAAAGAATGATGTCTTCCTTTATTAGTAGGAGAGAATGAAACAATATTGGAAACAACTCTTCAAGGGCATCCAACAGGAGCTCAGCCACATGAAGGAAGTGGTCAGAAGTAAAGCTCCAGCTACAATGGACGCCTTGGTACAGCAGACTGAATCTCCATTCACGCCTGGGGTGTTGCATTTTTCCCTCCCCCAAAATTCAAGATGCCACAAATAGAGTCATTGGATGGCAGGGACCCCATGGACCACCTCAACACTTATAAGAACCAGATGAAGTTACACGGGTACTAGGACTCCATACGCTATCGAGCCTTTGCCATCACTTTGAAGGGTTCAGCCTTAGCATGGTTTAACAGGCTCCCCCCGGCCTCAATCTCTCCCTTCAAAGAACTTTTCATTTCCTTCGTATCCCACTTCATAGGGGCTTGGACCTATAGAAAGCCAAGCTATCACCTTTTGAATGTGAAACAGGGACCTTAAGAAAACCTCAGGTCTTATATCCAAAGATTTAATTCGGAGTCATTAAAGGCGGATGTCCCAGACGAAAATTTTGTCGTCATTGCCTTCATAGCTGGTCTAGGGGTACAATCTAAAGATTTGATATTCTCCATATCAAAAAATTCCCAAGCAAGCATGGCCGAGGTGCTTGTCAAAGCAGAGAAATATATAAGCGGCAAAGAACCTCTTCTTTCTAAGGTGGGGAGCTCTTTTGCACATAGAGATAAGGGAAAGGAAAAGAAAAAGAGGAACCAAAGTCCCAAGAGAGAGAGGGAAAGAAACAGATCTCCAAAGAGAGATAGATCTCCCAAAATAGATAAAGAGCGATCCCAAAAAAGAATGGGGAACGTTAGAGACCGCTTAGGATCCCCGCAGCCTGAACTACAGCCGAGGTATGCACCTCAGCAATATACCCCTCTCACTGCAACAGTGTCCCAGATCCTATACGAGGTGCAGAACGAGAAATTCCTAAGGCGACCTCCACGAATGAAGGCAGCTCTTAGCTAAAAGAGACCCTACGGAGTATTGCAAGTATCATAGGGATCATGGTCATCACACCAACGATTACATTCAGCTAAAGAAGGAGATCGCCTTCTTGATCCAGAGGGGGCAGTTACAACGATTTGTTGCCCATGACAACCAGAACAGGGCTACCACGGGCACCTCAATAACAAGCCCCTGCATAGTACTAACAACCCTTAAGGGAGATCAAAGTGATAACTGGAGGATTTGCTAGTGGTGGAGAATCCAGTGCAGCCAAGAAAGTACACCTGTGCAGGATTAGAGCTGGCGAAGCGCTAGTAGTGCACACCGTGTCCAAAATACCTAGGCTGCGCACAACCATCACTTTTTTGGATTCAGACTTGGAAGGTTGCCAATAATCCCATGATGACCCGTTGGTGGTAAAGGCCATTGTGTCTAACCAAACGGTTCATCGAGTTCTAATTGACAATGGGAACTAGATCGACATCATTTTCGCCTCTGTCTTTGACAAAATTGGCATAGGAAGGGAGAAGCTTGAGCCAGTAAGTGCTCACTTAATGGGATTCTCAAGAGAGAGGGTGTTACCCCTGGGATCCATCCAACTCGTGCTCACTATGGGGGACCCTCCTTGTCAAGACACCACCACTGTGAAATTCCTGGTGGTTGACGCCCCTTTTGCGTACAATATGCTACTTGGGAGACCATCCCTCAATGCAATGAAGGCTATCCCCTCAGCATATCACTTGGTCATAAAATTTTCTATAGAAAATAGAGTTGAAATGGTCTGAGAAGACCAGCAAATAGCCAGGGGAATGCTACCTGGCCTCAGTGAAGCAGAAAGAAGTTGAAAATATCTAGCTAGATGAGCTTGACATGAAAGACTAGTTGGACACTAGGCTCATGCCGTCAGAAGAAATAGAGTCAGTCCAGCTCGATGAGGAGCCTGAACATATTGTTTACATGAGATCTAAGTTGAGTAGAGAAATGAAAGACCTACTTACCCAGTTCCTGAGGAAGAACATGGGGGTGTTCACTTAGAAGCAAGAGGACATGGAAGGCATTGACCCCTCAGTCATCACACACAAGCTAAGCGTGAATCTCATTTGCAAACCTATTAAACAAAAGCGGAGAATTTTTGCTCTAGAACGCCAGAAGGCAATTAACGAGGAGGTCAGTAAACTCCTCCATGCCGAAGCCATCAGAGCGGTGAACTACCCTACCTGATTGGCGAATGTGGTGCTGGTCAAGAAGACCAATGGGAAATGGTGGCTCTGCATTGATTTCACCGATCTCAATCGAGCATGCCCCAAGGACAGCTTTCCCTTACCTCGAATCGACCTGATTGTGGATGCCACTGCTGGGCATGAGCTCCTCAGCTTCATGGATGCTTTCTCAAATTATAATCAGATCAGGATGGACCCAGTGGACCAGGAGAAAACATCATTTGTGACTGAACAGGAAACTTACTGCTACCAGGTCAGGCCTTTTGGATTGAAGAATGTTAGAGCCACCTATCAGTGCCTAGTGAATAGAATATTCTAGAAGCAAATTGGGGCATCCATGGAGGTCTATACCGACGATATCTTGGTAAAATTACTAAGGCAGAGCTACACATCGAGCACCTAGCAAAATTATTCCAAATTCTCAAGGAATACAAGATAAAATTCAACCCTGCAAAGTGCGCCTTTGGGGCATCAGTAGGGAAGTTTCTGGGATTCATAGTCAACAGCAGAGGAATCGAGGCTAACCCAGAAAAGGTTAAGGCAGTTCTAGATATGTGACCACCGTCCAACATCAGGGAGATCCAATGTTTGACAAGAAGGATAACCGCCTTGAGTCGTTTTGTATCCAAATCAAGTGACAAGTGCCAACCTTTCTTTCAGGTCTTGAAGAAGGCATTTTAGTGGGACACCCAGTGTGAGGAAACCTTCAAAGCACTGAAGGAGTACCTAAGCTCTCCCCCTATCATGGTAAGCTCCTTAGAAGGGGAAGTGCTTACTCTTTATTTAGCTGTCTTAGATTTCTTAACCAGCGTAGCAATAGTTAGGGAGCGAGATAGAGCTCAGCAACTAGTTTACTACTGTAGCAAAGCTCTGAGGGGGGCAGAGGAGAGATATCCAAAGATGGAAAAACTAGTTTTGGCCTTGGTGACTACGGCTAGGAGACATAGACCATATTTTCAGACTCATACTATCGAGGTTCCAACAGATTAGTCAATGAAGCAAGTGCTGCATAAACCATAGTTTTCAGGAAGGCTAGTTAAGTGGGCAATAGAGCTCAGCGAATTTGATATTAGGTATAAGCTAAGGACTGTAATCAAAGGACAAATCTTGACAGATTTCATCGCAGAATTCACCACAGTAACAGCAGCGAAAGCCACAC